TATATATATATATATATATATATATATATATATATATATATATATATGTATATATATACATATATATATATGTATATATATTCATATATATATATATATATATATATATGAAACCTCATTTAATACATACCTCATTTGTATATATGAAACCTCTTTTTAAAATGGAAAAATGGTTTCTTTAACATTTCTAAAGTTGGAAGACTTGCCTGATGTCTATGTCTAAACCAGTGTTAATGGGGTCTCTGCTGTGGTCTAAGATGGGCCGATTATTCTGCATATTTCATTGCAACAATGCTGAGCAGCTGTCTCTCACATGTGCTCCATCCACAGTGCTCTCTACAGGTCTAGAGCTATGGTTTTCAGCCTTCATGGTAAATACCAACAATAAAATGACTTTCATTGCTACTTCATAACTGTAATTTTGCTACTGTTATGAATCATAATGTAAATATATGATATGCAGGATATCTGATATGCAACCCCTGGGAAAGGGTTGTTCGACCCCAAAGGGATTGCAACCCATAGGTTGAGAACCACTTGTCTAGAGTCATGGGGCAAATGGTCTTGGTTTGGAACCTTCAGAACTGTGAGCTAAATAAAAGCATCCTCTTTATAATACTACCTAAATAAATAGCGTCTAGAAAAACTGTAAATAGGTCATATTCCTTCTTTACAGATGAAGGAAGTAAGGTTCTGAATGAATGAGTGATTGTTATTGGGGACACTGCTGTTAAGCATACCCAAGTCTGTCTGATGCAAAGGCCACCCTTTTTTTCCCCTGTGCTATGGTCAGTATGTAGGCAATACTCAAGTGTGTGTAAAATGCTGGCCAGTCTTCCAAAACACAACTGTGTAAAGTACAACACAATTAGCAGAGTTGTGCTTTGGGAGGTGCACACTCCACAGATACCACGTGTCTGAAGGGGTTTTAATGGCTTTGGTCACAAAGGACAGAGAGATGTTCTTGGACCAAAGAGCACAGACTGTGAGAAATTCCCACATAGGTGTTGCTCTGAGTCGATGTTGCTGAGTTGAGCAGGAATCCTCTCCTGGCCTCCTCATTATACAGATCTTTTCAAATTCATAAATGATTTTGAGCTGAAAAACCATGGCAGGAACAACAAAGCTTTAAAGTTAAAGGAGAGAGCTTCTGGGTTTGGTGGAGTGGCATGAACTTTGTGTGGGTCCATAAGGACATCACCAGACAGACAGACCCCTAGGGAATATCACTCACTGACACCATTTATCTATAGGAAAGAAGAGATCCCCATGGCCAAAGCAAGATTCTATGCCCTTGTCTGATGCTCAGAGCCATTGTTTGCTGTTGTCATGTCCTCTCTGAAGCTAGTTAAATCAACTCCACTTTCAAGAGAGAAAAGCTGAGTGCTTTCTCTTCAAGTAGTGAAATTCTTCCCCTCTGTCCCCGCCCCCGGAAATGTGTCCAGTTTCTGGAAATTGTCTGAAACCCAACTGAGTGCATGCAGAAAAGCACATATTCAAACTCCTAAAACCATCTGACCTGGAAGGGCAAGTCTCCTCATTACCAACTAGATAACCAGCCAGTAGGTAAAAAACACAAGGTACCAAATAGCACGTTGGAGCAGCTATTCACTGCAGTTTCAGGCTCATGTCATCTGCCAAGAGTCATGCCCAACTCAAAAGAAACCCTAGAAAAAGCCTTGTCTCTGAGATGTGACATGCAAACCAAACCACGCTGAAGGCACGCTGAGGGAACATGGCTATGTCTAGACAAGCTAAGGCAAAGGGACTTCCTAAGTAATCACTGTTGGTTTCTGTTTTGTGTTTGTGTTGTTATTAAAGAAGTATACTTAAAACTTGTCTGAATTGTATTCATTCTCAACTATTAAATTTGCAAGTATAAGATGCTTTCACTGTGTGTTTGAATCTAAACACTCTCAGGTGGATCCCTGGGGGTCTTGTTTGCTGGTGAGGGAGACCAGAGCTCTATGTAGAACTTGTGGTCAAGCTGCTGAGACTGCCTACAAGAAAAGGAGCACCCTTCATAGAAAACCAGTATGTGAAACAAGATTTTCCTGTTGGTGATGAGATAAATGCTCACACAGCAGCAAAAACTGAGTGGAGCCCACAATTGTTTGCAAGTCCTGAAATATACTTGAAGTTTGAGTCTTCTGGTCAAAGACCTGAGTAGATCAGTCTCCATGGCTGTCCCTCCTTGAGGCTGTCCTCAGCAACAGCATCACCTCTGGGGTCTGTGTTCCCCGGGGACATCCCTCGTGGGACATTTGTACTTCCTGTTTGATTTTAGTAAGTAGCTCACAGAAAGCATCACTTTGCATGTGCTTGGCAGAATGAACAGAAGTGAATAGGAAGACAAGGAGAAGGAGCGGAGGAGAAGGAGGAGAGAAGGAGGAGGAGGGTTGCCATGTCACAACAGGAGGAAGAGGTGACTTACGCAGTGTGGTTGCTTGATATTGGCAGTAGGTGAGGAAGGCGGAAGTGACATACCTGAAATTTCTGGAAGTGTGGGCTTGACTTTTTCCCAGAAGTTCCCATCACAAACAAGAAGTCTGGGGTTAGGACAAATGGCACTCTCTCTTTATTAATGCCCAGGAAGCTCTTGTAATTCCCAAGAATGTGTCCAAAGTCTATATGAAATAGATTTCCTTAAGAGAAGAAAGTGCCTGACATCATTACATGGCATAAGGTCTTATAAGCATTTTGGGGTTTTTTGTTTTTTGAAAAAAATGTTTTCAGTTGCCTAAAAATGAACTGTTTTGAGTGAGAGCATTTTTTATACCCTTTTATTAGTCTTTGATATTTTCAGTCTTAAGAGGTATGTGAAAGTAGTAGCCATAAAGCATTCTTCGAACCAACTGTGTTTTTAATAGGTTTGGTCTTTAGATAATACCAAGATGTCATTTAAAAAAAAAAAGAAAGAAAGAAACTTGTCTCCAAAGTATTCTTATACAGGTAAATACTCTCTAATATATGACCATCATGCCTAAGAGACTCTATGACCTCACGTAAGCAAAAGACCAGTGTTGTATTTTGTCTGGCAGGACGGGTACGGCGGCCATTTCAGGCCACTGTCCGAGCAGCATAAACCAGTAAGGCTGAGAGGATCAAGGACTCGGGTGTTTCCGCCTGGAGGGCAGCCCGTGTGCTTTATTATTTGCTCTAGTTGCTCTCTGCAACATTTGACACCGTTGTTTCCTCCTGTCCTTACCACCTTCTGGGAAACAGTCCCAATTCTCTCCTTATACTTCCCTCTGTAACTCTTTCTTTCTCTTTTAGTCTCATTTTCTGTCCCTCCTTCCCTCACCCATCAATCCTCAAGAAGGATGGTCTGTTTAATGTGACCAGTGTCCAGCTTAGACTCTTAGGCGATGCCAGGAGGGGGTGCTGGGGAGGCAAGGCTTAATGAGCACAACTGCTTCCGGTTGACGGTGGTGATGGCTGCAGGATAATGGGAAGTATTAAATGTCAGCAACTGCACTCACCTGTCTCTGAGATCATAATGTTGTCGTTGTGCCTGTCACCTATTCCAAGAACGAATGTGGCCACACAGTAGCCTGCACAGGAGTAGACAAACCTCTCCACTGCCGCCTGAAACTGATAAGAACTCATGTAAGTGTTAATTGCCTCCCAGCTAGAGGGAGCAGTCCGAGTCAATTATAGATGCCTTCCAGAAAGAGAGTGTCCCAGGAACCATTTCAGACATTAAGAAGGTTGAGTCTGATCTCATTAGTTATATATCAGGGAAGTGCCAACTGTCACATTGTTCTGCTTGTATCTTCAGTGCAGAGTCATCCAAACACCATAGCATGAGGAAGACCCAAGAAGGAAAGGGCCACAGTAATTTATCCATTGCCCACAACTGTGCAGAACTCAGAGCAATTTCTGCGATTACACTTTGCTTGTGACCACTTAGGTGTATGGATGGTTTCACGGGGCTTTGTGTACAACAGATTACTAAAGGCTAGGAATTATATTCCCTCCACCAAAGGCAAATGTGCAGGGCTTTTTCTGTGTGGTGAAACTTTAAACAACACCCAGGCAGTCCAACAAAACAGTTTGTGAAGGATCAACGTGTGCACTTTAGCAAGATGGACATTTTCAACATCCACAAATTACCACTTAGATCTACAGTAATAAACTGTAAATTATTTTGTCTGGTATGAAAGAACATACGTATGGTAACTAAGTCTTTGGGTTGAACAACAACAGCAACAACAAAAATAGCCATAAGAAGTGCTAACAGATTATTTTGGAGAACCAAATTCTATGTAAAGCCTGACTGGTCATCAGAACTGAAGCAAACATTTTCCAGGTCTAGAAGTAGTCATTCTGTCTCAGAGATAAGCAGTGTCACCAGGGGAAACCCCTCAAAACCCCCACTGTCTCAGGAGCAAAAGTATGCTGGGAAATAGAGACATCCATTAGAAGAGCCTGCTCAGACCGGAAATCGCTGTAGTCTGACAGAAGACAAGCTTGTGGAGGAGTGGGCCTGGGGCGGGGAAGGAGAGGAAGAACTCACTTTTTCTTCAATAGGGCATTTTTCCTTGAGCCAGTGATTCAGGACTTCATCCTTGAACGCCCCGGTGTTACCCACTGTGCTTTGCTGAATCTGAGCGATCGTTGTGGCGTCCTTCACAATCTCGATCATTCCTGTGTGAAGGGACACAGGACTCAATGGAGGTTGATGCTGCAAAGTCTTGTCCGAGTGAGAAGTAAAAGGTTTTTTTTTTTTTTAATTCATTTATTGTATTTGATGCTTTCTTAATCCCAAGGTCTGTTTTCCATGTCTGAAAGGTTCTGTTGTTTGTTTGTTTGTTTTTTTGGAAAAGGTAATAACAGCCATGCTCCAGAAGCTGTGAGGAGTATCTTCTCATCATCCCTGACTAAGTCGAGGAAAGGTCCACTTTGGGGGAGTAACAAATAAAGACACTTATGTGCCAAGCTTAGCTTTCCTTGCTTGGAGATTGGTGCCTTCCTCTTTATAGGTAACAAGGCCAAATGTTTTGTACAGTTTTCACATCAGAGCCTTGAGTAAAAATAAGTGTGATTAAAACTAAAACGTTAAATGTCTATAAAAGTACCTGAGTGGAGTGTGGAATAGCTTCAGTAATGTGAATTCTGGAATTTAAAAAGAAGTGACAGTTCTTTCTGTCTAATTTTAAATGTTATTTGCGAGAGAAAAGCTTAATGTGCAAAGGCATGAGTTGCAGTTTAGAGCTGGAGAAAGAGCATGGGAGGGAGCAAGTTCTTAGGAAGATTATTCCCATGTAGGGGCACAGGCCTGAGTCAGGTCTCCACGTATCCTTAACATGTCATTGTTGAACTGAGAATCACTTTTGCCAGCCTGGGAACATTGCCACCTCTTTGATTATAACTTTCCGGTTATGGACTACTTTCACTGGGGGAGGGGGGTATTCTTTTAAAACTAGCAGAGTGGTGTGCTCATCTGCGGATGTAGCTACATACCTATTTTGTCACCAGTTGAGATGCACCCATATGGCAGGAGGCACAGGTCCAGAGATTCTGTCTCCCAAATGGACTCCATGATGCGTAGAATCTGGGAACCAAAGCACAGACGTTTCTACTATACAGAGACATTGGCAAATGCATTTTTCTTCTCTCTTAAAAAGCCAGTAATCTTATCTGGTTACACACAATATATGAGTAAACGCAAAATACATAATAGCTCAATGTTCATTGATCAGTCTGATACTCAAACTTCTCCTGTCATTGCAAATCTGTTGATTTCAGCCCCTGGGATATATGTTGAAGAAAAGTAGAAAGAGTTTTCACTTGGGGGAGGCTTTTGTCATGTTTCATAATCTATCTTATCAAAACATCCCACTTTGTTATGTGTGCCTCCCCGCAATGGCTGTAATGTCCTTATGTAATGTTCACTACTGGAATATCCACCAGACCCATGCTACTGCCAAAGCAGTGAAAGCAGTGATGGTGGCACTGATGCCAGCCATTAACTGGTCCCTCTTTTATGTGTGATTCTTGTATTAACCTTTTATTGGGAATATAATTACTGTTTCCATTCAGTGGGTAAAGGAACAAAGGGTTAGAGAGTTTCAGTAAACAGTGAGCTTCAATGATAAAACAAACAGAAACTCTAAGTACAAACTGTCCCTCAGAATTAAAGGAACAGCAGAGCAATTGTTTTGTGCCTCTGAAATGCTCAACACTGAACAATTCAAAAGATTCTGCAGAGCAGAGTTATTTGGAACTAAATTGATCTTTAAAAATATTAAGGGATTTCTTTCTTTTAAAAACATCTTTTGGACAAAACCCAAAAGAATAACAACAACAACAACAATAAAACAACCCATCCTGGAAAAGAAAGTTGAGTACTGTATAAGCCAAAACAGAATCTTAAGACAAATTGAAAATATGATGTTTTTAAATAGGCTGCCTTTAACTTAGTAGGCTTTGCCTATTCTAAATAAAGTGTGTTAGGTTTTAGAAACTTTTATGTCTTCCCTGATGAGGCACCAGAAGCTGGAGAACATAGCTTTATAGATTTGTGAGGCTAAGACCATCTGAAAACTGTGGGTGTTGGTACCTTCACCATTCATCTCCTCATCATTCATCTGTGTGGTCACCTACCTGCTGCTCATCCTTTTTCTCCATTGCAGCAAGTCTTGAGCTTATGTATGAAAAAACTGGGTACTATAGACAAATAATCCTACAGGCTATGCTACCATGCATGGAATGGAAGCCAGGGAAGGCAAGTGTACCTGGCTTAGGGAATGTTGAACACCCATCCTGAAAGGACAGACAGAACTATGGTGCTCTTTAGAAAGCATGTCTAATGAGCCGTAGCAGCTACAGTCACCAAGTAAAACTTGCCTATTGAGTACCCTTTGCTTGTTGTTTATCATGAAACAAACAAACAAACAAACAAAATGAACCAAACCAAAAACAACCAGAAAGGAAGGCATACTTTAGACCATACTTTAGACCAACACAGAATTCTTTCTTCAGACAATTGCAAAGAACCTCACTTTCTTCACCTCAGCCTACCTGTAAGATCAGCATGTCTTGGCGCAGATCATCGCCGTGTTTAAAGATGATCCCAATGGTCTCATTAGATAGGACTGTAGGGTCGGCACACTTGAACTCAAGCCACAGCGGCTTCTTCTTGGAGGCCATCACTTTACACTTTTCGATCTGCAAGGAGGTGGCCACACTGTCACATACAATGGATACACCCTGAGGGGGTCTCGGTGCTCTTGTAGAGCATCGATATACACAGGGTCAAGGAGCTGGCTGGAAAATGATTTTCAATGTTTGTATAAAAACACAGAAGGTGTTCTCACCTAAACTGCAAACGCTGTGTATGTGTGAAAAATTTCACAAGCTTTCAAACAGTGGCTCTCAGACTGTGCTCCAAGGAACTCCCAGCGATGGTGGGGGGCCCATGGGTGCAGAGGTTTTCTCTTGCCCGCCCTGCTCCCATGGGATGCTGGTATTCCCACTAAAGTGTTTAGCTAGAATCTGTTTTTATACATTATCTTCTTAAGATTTGATTTGGAAAAGGAGTTACAGTGTTACCACAGTGCCTGAAATGTTCTTACTCCAGGATCAGATGCAGGCATATCTAACTCAGGGAAATTTAACAGGCGTGCAGGGCTTTTAGGCCCCTCCCCCCACATCTAAGCAAAGCCTGGCGACAACGGTCATAAAAACAAACCCAAAACCTTTTTATGGCTTTTAAACAAAAGTGAATGCACTATGAAAAAAAGAAATGTAACGTAGAGATGGAGAGATGGCTCAGCAGTTAAGATCACTGCTCTCACTGACGATCTGGCATCAGTTCCCATCACTCACATGGGGCCTGCAGGAAATCTACCGCCCTTTTTGGTCTTCTCAGGCATTGCATGTACATGGCAGACAGGCAAAACATTCATTATTATAACATAAAAATAGATAAAAAAAATATGATGCCATTTTTTTTAAAGAAAAGCAAACAGTTTGAAGGCCCTTCTGTAAGCAACTGGACCAGAAAAACACATGGACGGCTTCTGTCAGACATTAGGTGACAGACGTGGAAACTGTAACCCCTGAGCACAGAAGACAGTGAAGGCAATCCTGCCTGTCGCTGTCTCAGCTTACTGTTGGAGGCTGTTTCCTGGTTAAAGCATGGAGAAAAGGCATCTGTGCAGAGCTTATGGCCTAGCAGTCTATAGTATAGTAACTGAAGTCTCCAAAATAAAGGCCAGAAGAGAGCGACAGAAATTAATAGTCAAGCAATTTCCAAACTTGGTAAAACAGATGCCCACCAGCCCATGGAGCAACATAGCCTGGTACTTAATGCAGGAAACCTGTGCCAACACACGTTGTCATCAATGCACTGAAATCTAGGGAGGAAAGAAACCCGAGAAGAAACAGGGGGAAAAGGATGTGTTATAAATAGAACATCAAAGACAAAGCCAGAGTGTTACCATCAGGATGTAGGCAAGCCAGGAGAAAATGTTACTGCAAAGGAAAAAAGTGGTAAGCTAGGATTCTCTGTCTAGTGAAAATATTGGTCAAAATAAATGCATAGTAAAACATTTTCATCTAAGTAAACTCTGAAAGAATTTATTGCCAACAGCTAGCAAGATAACATGTTAAAGATCAAAGGAAAGTGATATTAGGAGCACACCCAACACAATAATATGTGGGTAAAAGGTTAAAATGGCTTAATCTATTTAGTATAGATATATTTTTGTTTAAAGCAAAAGAAAAAAATACTGTGGGGCTTAAAATACATACAGAAGAGGTGCCTTAGTGGAGGTATACCTTTCCAAGATTCTTACATGCATACAGAGTGGTTTTGTTAGTGTGGGACTGACACTTAAATCAACAGAAGAGATCAGAGAGCTGAGGCATAGACCCACCTACAATATGGCCAGCTGATATTGACTTGAAGAATTTCTGTTATGTTTCCAAAAGAATGGTATAGAAGCACTTACTGATAAAAAACTCAATGAACTTCACACTGTGGACAATTGCTTATGTAAAGAATAAATCAATAAGCTGATTTAAAACACAATGGAAGAGCAACTACCCTTCCATTGGGATGTTATATTGGGTACTGGGACTTTGGGTAAGAGTAGCTAAAGAGGGTCTTAACAGGAGCCCCTCTGGAGATGCTCTAGCTTCCTGTGTCTACTGAAGATCCATTGTGAAGACCTAGCTCTATAAAGCATGCTAGACATTTGCAAGACATAAGGAACACACAGAGACATTCCCACTGATACTTACCACCAAGGTACCTGCTTTCAGTCCAGGATCATAGGGAACTCTAAAGCTCTTGGGGAGATTGGAATTCTGCAGGTTTTCAAGCTTTTGCTTAAGCTGTGAAACGACTGCAATTATCAAAAGCATACAGGAGTGGAGTGAGTATAAGACATTATCAGTACTATCTACTCCCTCACCATTCCCGAGGTCACATTTCCTTAGTGCTCCATGTGTTTCATTTGGGAAATTAGCAGTAGGAAGAGTAATACAGAGCTCTGCCTTTGGGATCTGACCATTCTGAGTAGGCCAAGTAAGTCAGGATTACTGTGAGCAACTTAACTGTAAATGTTCCCTCACAGGCAGAAGACATGTTAACACATGTGGAAAAACCTCCAGTCACAAGGATGTGCTGAGAGTGAGTCTAAGTATTAGCATTGCCATAGCCCTTCCAGCCTGTGAGACTTCCAGCGGCCATCTGCTTTGTGGCACAGACATTTGAGCACACTCTTAAACAGAGCGGGGTTAGAGTTCTGCAAATTCTCAAAAGAGGAAGTTAGTGTGTGTGTGCAAAAGATGTGGCAACCTCAAAATTCTCAAGGCAAACACACAGAGTACAGATTGCTGCTTGGATAACAAGCGGGGACCAGTCCCAATGTAAGATTGTTATTACTACCATTAATAGTTTTGGGGGTAGCATGGTCAATGAACCAGAAAGCAGTCGAAAGGGAAGGTTAGAAATTTAAAATATTCAAAAGCTGAAATCACTTGGCAGAGCCGTTAGTGTCTGTTTTAGGCTGTAATGCTTGGTTTACAAAATGAGTAAAAGATATTCTCTAAGTTCAACCTTCATTCATTTTTTTTCATGCCAGAAAGATGTGTCAATGACCACAACTTAAAGTGGTACCAACCCAAACCTTATAGGAGGGATTAATTTTTCAAGAGCGAAGACAAGAGGTTGAAAATGGCTACAGAGAAGAGGTGTGTGTGTGTGTGTGTGTCTGTGTGTGTATGAAGGAGACATACATTTACCTATTTGTATTATTCTGAGGTGCAAATGAATGTATATAATAAAATTTTAAAGTCAACCTACCCTCTCAATAATAGTACCTTAAATTTCTGACAATTTGAAATCAGTAGAAACATAGTAAAAGATGGGGGAAAGAAGAAGGCTTGGAAATCACTTCTTGTGTGTGGAAATGTTATTGAAAATTACACTTTCCATCCACACATGGTTCTTTAATTTCTCCAAGTTCTATATGCACAACATCATTTTTAAGATCATACATGTTTATGGTCATAAAACATCATGTCTTGTAGAAGAAGACCTTTAAATCCATTTACTTGAATAAAACAACGTTTTATTGGCTGCCTTTAGCAAAACACAGCCTAAATTCCAGAAAGAAGAATCACAATGATTATGGCATTTGGAAAGAGAACTGAGAAAGTACAGCCACTGTACCTTGGGAACTGACGTCATACTTCTCCGCAGAGAGCGACTTAATATCAATGGTGACTTTTTGGAACATCTCGATCACTTGGACCTGCTTCGTGAAGTCCTGCAACATGGCTGTGCCGCAGCCCCGCAGGTACGCTTCCAAGATCACCGCGAACCTCTGCTGATAGTGTCGGGACTGGGCTATCTCACTCCGCAAGAACCAGAACAAGAAGTGGCCAATCCTTTTGTTCTGAGATGGGTACAAGATGGTTAAGATGATGACTAACGCTGTAGGTTTACCTGGCAATTCCTGGTGGCCTAAACTGTTACATTGCTATCAGAGTGGAAGTACTTACTCTCAAGGCACGCTTCAGTAGGAATCTGGCCAGCGCACTGTCATGGTATGGTTCGAATTTCACAGCCTAAGGGAGGAGAACATTGGCATTTGAGTATTTTACTCTGTGGTGGTCAGTCAGGAGCAAGAAAATGGGGAAAAACCATGGTTCAGTGTGTGGGTGGGGGTAATTCCAGCTAAGGTGGTTAAGAATCACCCTAGTCACTAAAATCCAGTTTCCTGTTTATTAGACACCTGGACACTGGGGACAAGAGGGGCACTTACTTAGCATCCTAGGTCCTAGATGAGGACAAAACTGGGGCTGGGGCCAGACCTCCTGATACACAGTGCTGTGATCTGGGTAATGGCCGAGATGAAGGTGCAAAGGCCTTTGCTCTAAGTTAGAATGACTTGGGTTATCAGAAGTGGAGAGGGAGAGGTAGACCTGGCTATAATAATTCTTTAAAGTGGAACATAAGAGTGGTTGTTTCAAGGCAAATGGGCGGTGGGAACACAGTAGCTACCAGAAGAACATTAATGCAAAGGAGGACCAAATGTGAAGATCCTAAAACCCTGCCACCTCCCTTTGGGCCACTCCCACCTTCTAACTGTAGGTGAGCAGCAGCCCTGCCCTGGCCCTCTGCGCTGTAGAGCTGTGTGTCGGAACAGCCCCGGTCCTTATGCCTCCACAGACAGAACTTGGTCTTCATAGTCAGGGTTTGATCATTTTCACAGTGTTGGCTCTGGGTTGGATACTGACTTAAGTGAAATGACAGCTCTATTACTGAAGAAAGATAACCAATGAAATGAAAAAAAAAATGAACTAAATCTTGGTGGGTGCCTGTATATTTTTCATCTTTTATTTTTCAATAAGCTTAAAATAGCTTATAGTTTTGAAAGCAACAAATATTATTTAATTACCAATGCATATACAAGCTGGAAGGTAGGTAGTGTATATAAGTTTAAAATTCACTGTCTCAGACCAGTTTCTTTATAAATAGGAATGGTCTTTCTCTTCAGAGAACAGAAGAAATTTCCAGGCTAGCACATATTTTGGAGCCTGATGTTCACAGCTCTCACTCTGGGCTTCTAGTTTGATCTGATCTGCACTGAGCTTAATGTTTCAATTCTAGCCCTCCTTTCTAAAGCGCTTCTCTTGGGTGTGGTCAAGTAGGTGCCATAGAACTGCCTCTAAGCCAAGTTCTGAGAATGTGGTTACCCAGTCAACAGAACTCACTTTAAGTGTTTTAAGTTTCTAGCCTTAGAAATGGTCTTTCTTCATGTTTCACTTCTACAACAATGATGCAGATCGCAACCGAGAGTCCATTTTAACCAACCCTGAGTCATTTAGTTGGAGCTGAAAACGTTTCAAATTGCTGCACAAATGAATACTACTCTTCAAATTTAAGTCCACAGTCCAATATTAATAAGATCGATTGACATCTTTCACCTAAAAAAGTTTTCAAGAAAAACACCATTCATCTTTGAATTCTGCAAAGAATTCTGTTTTTTTTTTTTACTTTGGAACACAGCAATGAAAACATTGTCAGATCAAATATTCTCTACTCAAAACTTTCCTTAAATGCATTAATCAAAACTGACTGTCACCTGACCCCTATTTGCTCATAGTATTCTATGAGCACCACTTTTCCCAGAAGCCTTTGTCATAATTTCATCATTTGCTACTAAACAGTGTGTGTGTGCACATTTGTGTGTGTGCATTGCAACAAATCCAAAGCTTTGTCTTTTTACTGAAGAAGTTGTTGAACTTCTTCAATGAGCACATCTGTGCTATTCAATACCATTTCTACCTCATTTTTTGTTTTGTTTTGTTTTTGCGTTCCTTTCCCTTGTCAAACAATTCAATGTAAGCTGAGAACTACTAAAGTGAGCAGAACTGTCACTCTTGAACAACCCAGGTAAATCTCAGACATATCACTGACCCCACAAGGCAGCAGGAAGCATCATGGGAACTGAGTGGAACATAGTCTCATGCCTGTTTAAAGAGGGCAGCTGTCAAGATTCTACTCAGCACAACCATTTAGCAAAAATAACAATAGCCCATTCTACCCGAGGGTCTATGACCTCCCCAGCCACCAGCGCCATACCGGGGTCAGGGTTACAGCACCAAGCATGACATTTCCTCCTGTGGAACAGGCCTCAAAGCCATCACAGCAACTGTGGTCACCCGCACACAGCCTGTGCAGGCTTGAAGCAGCCAAAGTTCTGCCAAAGATGGGGAGAGGGTAATCTCCAGGCCCCACCTCTTGCTGAGAAGCTATTGGCGGTGGATGGTTGCAAGGAGAGGAAAAATCATTCTTTTTAGAAGATGTGGCCACTGGCAGGGTCCCCTGCTCTCACGGATGGTCCTACACCCAGGAACACATGGACAATGCTAATCGGACTTAGTAGTAATTAGTGAAAAGGTGACATCAACTTGAAAGGGAGACATATTAATTAGGCCAAGAAGAGAATTTGAAGGGGGAAGAGGGAGTATATATGATCATGTTCCAATGTATACCTGTATAAAAGTCTCAAGAAGAATAAAAAAGAAACTCATTTAAAAGGCATAACATGCTGTTCTATGAATTGTAATAAGCACCGGCAGAGATTAAAAAAAATTCCTAACCTGCATTTTCTTGCTGCTAGATTCATGCAGGATAATTTGGAGGCTGAAAAAGGGATAAAGCCTGGTGTTAGTCAGCCCTTTAATTCTGGTCCATTTCTCTTTTAAGATATGTGGTCTTGGACAAATAACTTGTCTCCTTGTATCTCAGTTTTCATATGTATAAGATGCAAATCCCAATTCTGGTTTGACCACCCTCATAGTTATTAGTGGAATTACACAATACACAAAGAACATGAAAATCACTGGGGCCTTGGCACAAGGAAGCTTGCAACTAGTTCAATCCATCATTAAAATAATCAGTGAGGACAACGTAATTTCTACTGGGCCAGTTCTCCTAAAATTTGAAGGACAGCACTGGTGTCTTTCAAACGCTGGCAAATGCTCGTTGGCAAACCCGAAAAAAAAAAAAAAAAGTCAATGGAAGCGTTTACTACTTTTTGACTGTGGTTTCACCAGCGCTGGGCTGACTGATCCTGAAACTGAACAAAGGATATGGCATGACTCCTGAATGGGGTATCTGAGCACATGCAAATACATCCTCTGAGAGAGCAGTCCCTGCTACCACCCCCAGCCCTACCTGCACCAGCTGGAGTAGGTAATGTAGAACGTCGTCGTCCTCCAAGCTCTCCAGTTTCTGAACTGCAATGGCTCTCACGTTTTCATCTGAAAAATTGCAGTCCAGGAGCTGCATGGTTAAACCAACATCCAAAGCACTTTGATCCCAGATCTCCCTTCTGGCTAACAGCTGGTACATTTTGGCAACAATTTCTTGCTGTCCCCATTTCACCGAGCTGAACAGCTTAGGGTATGCCTTCGGATGCTTCAGGCTTTCATATCTAAAATGCCAGAGCAATTCTTTGTCCTCTGCCGTGAGAGGGTTAAGTGGGTCCGTGGCTATGATCGCCTCCAATTGCTTTCGAAGCTGATTGGGCATTTCCGCTCGAACCCTGTCTCCTTCTGGGTCAGGGGTGGGCTGATGCTTAGGCAGGGCTATGGGGTGACAGTAGTTGTCCAGCAGGATGGAGATGGACATGGAGTTCTCCTTGTCAGGATTGGTTGCAGATGTGAGCTTGTCGGCGTTGAAGCTGCCCTGCTCTTCTGCCTTCCCGGATATCTGCCACATGTGGAGCACATAGTCCCCGTGGCGGAGGAGGAACCGGTGGTCTATTAACAGCAGGTTCACGTAATAGAGAAGCTGGGCTTTGCCCTTGGACTCGGAGCCTGGCGACTCGGCGGAAGCCTTGTTGGACAGGGCTGGAGTTTTGCAGCAGTAGATCTGGAGGTTCAGTAGGGCCCCTCTAGGCAAGTCTTTGATTTTGATGCCGAACTCCAGCCACACATTCCAGAGTACTTCTTCCGTGAAGGGCTTCGGGCTGGTTCTCCGCTGACAAAGGACTTGCTGGCCATGCTGGATGTTTGCTTCCACGAAAACAGTGAGGTCGGTGTTCCGAGGCAGGACAGGGATATCGATGCCTCTGATCTTGACCCTGAACTTCCGGTCGCAGTCCCACAGCGACACCGTGAACACGCTCTCGTGGTCCTTGCCGTGGATGGTCAGCTGCTCGTGGTAGCCGGTGACGCCAGTGCAGTCGTCCACCAGCGGCCACTCTTCCCTCCTCACCTCGTCCAGGGCTGGGTCTGGAGGCGTGTCGAGCACCAGGTGGATCTCATCTCCGTTCTTGAGGCACTGCCTCACCCACTGGAAGTTTTTGAGGGGCGTTTCGCCCACCAGGTACTCGTCGCGGCCGCAGACCCGCAGCACAAAGTCCTGCTCTCCCTGACTCTCTGGGATATTCATTAGGGACTTCTTCTTGGCCATCTTGGTGAAGAAGCTCTGGAGAATGGTCCCCGGAGTATCATCTGCCGAAACCTTGACGGTTTGACTGGTGGTACCGCGGTGGATGACGATGAAGATGCAGTTGTTGGCGATCTTTTTTGACAGGTAGTCAGGGAGAGGTTTGGACGTCACCCAAGGGTGCATGGCATAGAGTTTGGCATCCCGGCCAGCCACCTCGGCCATGCGGGGCGTGACCAGGCGGCGGCGAGTGAACTCCAGCTCGTCGTCGTGAACGTTGCTGACGTCGGTGACGTCGTAGCCGATCAGGGAGGTGAGCTGCTTCTGGAAAGCAAGGGTCTCCTCGGAAGGGGCGTGTCGCTGTACCACGTGGATCTGGCCGGGGCTCTTGTGCATCATCTTCCAGTAGTGCAGGCAGTCTAGGGTCTGCACCACCTGATACCTGTCGTAGATCTCATACCACTGTCCCTTCTTCTGGTAGAGCAGGAGGAAGTGGTCCGGGCCTAGGCGGTGGTAGAACTCGGCGGCCACGCTGGTCTCCAGCGCGCGCAGCCACACCTGAGCTTTCATCTGCTCCACGTTGCCATGGCCGGCCACGTGCAGCAGCGCAGTTTCTGGCGTCTTGCTGATGCGCTGGCTGGTGGGCAGGACAAACTCGATGGGGATGAGCTCCATGGAAGACAGGCTGCCCGCCGCGCTGCGCGGCTTCATCCTCCGGCGCCGGCGAAGGTTGTCCTCTCTCAAAACCACGGGTTGCTCATAGCTCTCCAGCTCCATGCCCTATGCGACCTGGGAGTGGAGAAACAGCTTCGTCAGGAGACGCTGTTCCCTGCACGTTCATGCACCATGACAGGGACAAGGCGTAGCGGGTCGGTGTGAGCCCTAGGCCTACGTGGGACTGGGCATGAATCTCGGCCAGCCACTTACTACGGAAGTGATGTGGCCTACTTAAGCTCTGTTTCTTATATGTCAGCCTGCTTTCTTACACCTAGAGGGTGGAGGCAAAAGTTTAGAATATGGCAGTGTCTTTTTTTTTTTTTTTTTTTTTTTTTTTTTGATTGGGTAATGTATACATGGCAGTACATTTTTTTCTAGGTTTTGTTTGTTTGTTGTTTTTTGGTGTCTGTGTGTGTATGTGATGTTTTAATTAAAAAATTGCAAAGCGCTGTGGGGTTGGAGAGATGGCTCAGTGGATAAAAGTGTTTGCTGTACAAACATAGTTCCTGAGTTCACATTCCTACCATCCGCATAAGCGCTGCTCACCATGGGCCTGTACCCCCAGTTCTGTGCGTGTGTGTGTGTATGTGTGTCTGTCCCTGTCTCTCTGTTTCTCCCTGTCTCCCTGTTTCTCTGTCTCTGTCTGTTTCTCTCTCTTTCTGTTCGAGTGTTGGAAGGGAGGAGAGCAGGGATGAGAGGAATCACGGAAGCTTGTTGGCCACCAGCCTAGTTCTAGGTGCAGTGAGAGACCCTGCCTGAAAGGAATAAGGGGGAGTGTGTCTTCTCTGCCTTCTGTAGGTGTGCTTGGGCACCTGCACACATGTGTGCATGCACACACACACACGCGCGCACACACACACACACACACATACACACACCCACTCACACACTCACGAATGCACATAAATTTGTAAAACATTGATCTAGCAGAGTCTGTAATGTACTGGCGCAGAATGCTAGCTGCCTGTTAGTGCCCCGAAACACACAGATGCACAGGATACTGTGCAAGGACACAGCCAGGGACACAGCCCTGGTTTCTGTGCTACCGTGTGAGACCCTGGAGGCTGCTCTGGAAACAAGCCAGTGTAGTTCCTTTGTTCAGTCTCACACCTCTCTCGCCCAGACACCCAATCTTACTTCATGTTCTCTATTTTCAAACTGTCTGAACCCAGAGCCTTCTCCCTACCCAACTTCCTGTCCTTTTTCTTTTCATTTTTTTTCTTTCTATATAAGACAGCCAGTCATTTCATTCATAAAACTCAAAAGCAGCAAAATTGGTAAAGGTTGTAATCAAAGCCACTGGAGACACATAGCATTTTGGATCACGGGATGTGGAGCATTCTGGCTGTCATTGCTACATGACAGCAGAGGATGGACCTCTGAACTTTCCCAACATAACTTTTAGGTAATCTTAACTGAGCTGATTGGTTTGACCTGCCTCTGCTTTAGAGGAGCCATGGTAGAAGGGATGGTTTCTCCCTCCCCCATCATCTACTGTTTAGATTCTAAACAATAATTTCATTTCTTTTTGTTCTAATATTTTCATTTCCTTACCAGGAATTTACAAACTTGTTCCCATCATATTACCCACATATAAGTATTTGCCCTTTACAGAGCATTTAAGTGTAACAATGCTTCTTCCACTAAGGAACCCATCAAATAACAACTGAAATGCTCAGAGTGCCAAAACTGAGAAATGATTCATAAAACATTTTGATTTTACCATATAGCATTGCTACATTGGAACTACATTATATTCTAAACCACATTCAAATATTTCAGAAAATATCATTTACTCTCTAACTGATGTTAATGAGATCCATAATTAGTTATTTCATGAAGAAGAGTGGAGTATTAATTATATACCCAAAGAAGAGCTTAATTAAAAGACAAGTTTCTTTGGATCTCAACTTATGTTCAATTCTTGGGTTAACTTATTTTTAAAGTTGATTCTCCCTCCTCTTAAAATATATTGAAGTTATTCTTAGTAAATAAATGAAACCAACTGTCCCAAACAACTGTCACTGGGTAGCTTAAAGCATTCACTTTGTTTTTTTTTTGGTACATTATAGAATAACTAACAAAGAAAAGAACCGTAGCTATATCGATACTGACATAAATTTAAAATAAAACATGCCCAAATTTAAGCATACAAATATAACCCAGTGTCTGCCTCAGTGATACCAAAGATTCATTCTATATAGTGATACAAGGAACGCTGACCAAATACTCACTGGTTCTCCTCATGTCTGGGACTAAGCAGCTTTGTCCTCTTATAAAAACACTGTACAGAATTCCCAAGCATGCGCTTGTAAAACTATGGAGCCTGCCGGTCATGGGCTCTGCGGCCACCCCCTTCCTCACAAACAAAAGCAGAAAGAACTAATGCACCTGCGAGCCCTTGCCGGAACCTTTCGGATACACACAGTCTAGGCTGAGCGAGACAATGAAATTCAGACAGTCCCTGGTTGGCTCATCTCGAACCGGCAATGGTTCCAGACAAAAATATTGTAGCTGAGAAGGAAGCGTCACTGTTCGAGTCAGACCGAGCAAAGAGCAAACAACAGAAAGCAGTAGTACCTGAGACAGCCCTGGGGGTGATGCTGCTGAAGGGTCATTTGTTTACTTAACAAAAACAAAACAGATTCAAACCTACCCAGGGCACCTCTCGACTCTTCCGCTTTTCTGGGGGCTCCCTTCATATCCAGATGCAGAGGAAGTGTTGCAGTTACCAGGAAGGAAGTTTTAACCAAGTTGATTATACATGTGATTGCTCATTTTAAAAGTGTCAGAAATGCATTTCCTGCTGAAGCACACGGAGAGCAGAGCAGAGCAGAGCACAACGGAGAGCCGTGTTTACCTCACTGTTTAAATTAGTTTTTCCAAGATTGTGAGAGACTCAGACAAGTGACAGAGATCCAAACCAAAACTGCCCCCAAGGCATGAACAAATGAAGCACGCGTGCAGCTAGCTATGAGCAGAAGAAAGGGCTGCACAGGCACACTAGGAGATAACTTGTTAAGAGCCGAGCAAAACCTGTTACTCTCTGAGAAGTCACATAAACCCTGGTGTGTGTGTGCTGTAAGTGTGGACTGTCATGCTCTATGTCTATGGGCTGGTGATTTCTCTCCTCTCTCTCTCTCTCTCTCTCTCTCTCTCTCTCTCTCTCTCTCTTCCAGGCCATTTAGGTCTCAAAATATCACAAGCTCCAACTGAGAGTCCTGCAGCACGTGTGTTCCTATTGCTGCTGTGTTGGGTGTGTGTGTGCTGGTGTATGCTGAGGGCGGGGCTTACTGTGAGCACTGACTAATCAGATAAAAGAGATGGAGGCTGCTATCCTGGGGACATTGGGGAGCTAAAAACTGTCATCATCAGGCAGGTAGACACTGAGAGATGGCTTCTAGTTCCCACAGGCTTGGAGAACATGGAGGAGACTGGTTCTTTTTAAAGCAGCCTTATGTTTTCCAAGTAACCTCAATTCCTTCTAAAGCCCGAAGCCTAGCCAGCTCTTCTGTGCCTCAGGAGTTGCTACACCAGAATTTATTCTCAGCACTAGGCTGTCACAGATTTCAGCTGGGCCTGAGGAACAGCAAAAAGGAAGAGGTAGCCTCACATGCCCCTCTGAAGCATGTGGGTTTCAGGACCAACAGTGTCAACTAACGTAGGCCCAGGGGGAGCTCAGGGAAACTGAAGCACCAACCAAGGACCATGCATGGACTGGACCTAGGCCTTCTACACAGATGTAGCAGCCAATAGGCAGCTTGGTCTTCATGTGGGTTCCCTAGTAAGGGGAGCAAAGGCTTTCTCTGACATGGACCCTATTGCTTGCTTTTCAATTCCTTCCTCCTGGTGGGACTGCCTTGCCCAGCCTTAATGGAAGAGGATGTGCTCAGTCAGGTTGGTAGGGGGTGAGGCTCCCTGATTTTTATTGGAAGGGGAGGAGGAATAGGGAAAGAGGGTGGGAGAGTGTGACCAGGAGGAAAGGAGGGAGGAGGCTACGATCGGGATGTAAAGTGAATCAATAAAATAAACGTATTTTAAAAAGAGATAAACGGGTCTCTGATCTGCTGAACCACCACTCACATAGCCCTTGTGATGGCTGGTACAGGCTGTTAACTTGACAGAATCTAGACTCTAGGAGACAAACCTTTGGGCATGGCTGTAAGCCAGTCTGTCCACTGCGTTGCGTGAAGTGTGGGGAGACCCACCCTAAACATGGGTGGAACTGTCCATGAGCCGCGGTTCAGGATTGGAGGAAGCCAGTGGGGCACCAGCTAGTGTTCCCTCTCTGCTTCCTGATGGCAGATGCAGTGTGAGCCGCGGCAGCATGATCCTGCCACCAAGTCTTTCCTGTCGTGATGACCTGTGTCCCCAAACTGGGAGCCAAAATAACGCCGCTTTCCTGCTTAACTTGCTTCTGTTGAGCATTTTGCCATAGTAACAAGGAAACTAAGACAGGTCCTTTGGGTCTCAGATTTCAAAATTGTAGTCTAAGAGTCAAGTCAACATCAGCAGGCAAGTCTTCATACAAAGGCTGCCTTCTAGATACACAGAGGGGGCAGCTCTGCTTCCCAAAGTATATTTCCCTGTCAGAATACTTCCTGGGGAGGTTGGTGTCTTTATAAGCCTCAAGGCAGTCTTGTTTGTTCAACAGTATGTGTGAGGGCTATGGCAGCAGGTAAAGAGAGTACAGTTCTTCAGAGGGAGTGAGGACTGTCCTGAGAGAACCTTGAGCTGGGTTTTTGGGCTTTACACACACACACACACACACACACACACACACACACACACACACACCATTTCAGAAATGCTAAGCTCAGGCTCTTGGGTCCCTTTTCTTCTGAGAGGACTAGTCAGCTGATTTCACTTATGCAAATATTGTCAATTCTATGACTAAACTTTCAAATACATCAGGCTTATTGGTGGTTTGAGATTAAAAGTACCCTGATCTTCCTCATTTCCTTACATAATCACTAAAATTTACTATCTCTCTAGTGAATGTTTTTCGGCAGAAGTAATGAGACATACCCCATGCCTCCTTCCTCCACGTGGGTACTTCT